CCGCCCGGGAGCTCGTCCGGCGGCACCCCTCGCTCGCCTTCGCAGTGCTGGAGAAGGAGCAGGAGCTAGGTACGGTGCCGGTGCGTCTCCCTCGCCCGTGTGTTCGGGGTTACCTGGCGTCAGTCTGTAAGAGATCTTGACCGAAGCACACGCTCGCCAAAGCCTCGATATTTCACGAACAAATGTGTAAAGGGAAGCTCAGTTTTTGGGTGAGTGAGCAGGAGTGGAGGAGCACCTGCCCTCGTCGCTGAATTGGGTGATGGATTCCACCCTGGGAAGAGCATCTTCCTTCGCAAGCGCTGCTGGCTTTGCCCTGACAGGGGATTTCTTCCTCCCTTTGCCCGAGGACACATCCTTCAGCGGGGAAACGGAGCTGTCATCAGTCTGTGCTTCGCTGCTTGGACTTCAAGTTAAGAGTTTTAGAAGGGCTGAACGTTGCTGCTTCAGTGCTCGAAAGCAGCAGCTCTTCCTGGCCTGGGGCTCCAGCAGCAGCAGGGATTTCAGGGAAAAGGACAAGGAGGGTGAACAACGCAAGTAAGGAGCAGCACAGGTTGCAAAGGCATAAGGGCAGGTCGGGTTTAGTGCCGCACGGAGCGGGAGGTAGAGAGGATGAGCTGAGAAATGGTGCTGGGGTGGCTTTTTGGTGGGGCATGAGGAGAAGAGTGAACAGCAAACAGTGATGGTTGTTGGGTAGAGAGGGAGGGTCGGGAAGTAGAGCTGCTTAAAAATGTTTGGGACTCATTGGTCTGGGCAAAGTCTACACCTGTCTGTTAATTGCCAGAACTAAACCACAGTCATTTGCCGTGTGTTTCTGGATATCCCTGTGCAAGGTGCTGCCGTTTGCATGAGGAGTCGAAGGTAAAGAACTAAACAGAGAGATGACTGGGAAGATGTCACTAGTTACTGACCCAGCATTAGCCAGAGTAAAATGGTTGCCATCTTACGCAGGAGATCTTGAGGGACTCCGTACCTGGGCTTCTGTCCTGGCTTCGAAATAAGAAAGAATGAGCCCTGTTGCTTCATTGTTAGAAAGCTTTTGTGGCTCGCTGAGGTACGAGCACAGGTTCATCATAAGCAGTCTTTTCACACCAAGTGCTTATGCAGATATCCAGTCACTCAGGGTAGGCAGAAGCAACCCCCAGGGATCACGTCAACGGCTAACTCAAAGTAAGACCTGTGAGCCCAAGCTCTTGCTGTAAATAGCTCCGTCACCAGGCTATGTATCGCTCTTGAGTTCTTACCTGTGTGATACGAAGTGGCTTTTTGTCTCCAAGACAGGGCACATATAAAGTGATTAACAAGTTGTGGGAGTGTGAGGCAGGGGTGAACTTTGGGACTCAATATTTTAAGGTGGAGAAGCTGCCCAAATTACTTAAGTAAAAATGTTTGTGATATTTTTCACTTCTATTGTACTTAGTTACAAAGAAGAAATAGTAACCTAATCCAGATCACAAATACTTGAAAAGCCTACCAGGCCTGCCAGCACCTCCAAAGAAATTGAGGATTGCACAGACATTATGTTAGATAAGGCCTTTAAGCATGCATTTAATTTAAAAAAATGAATTTTTAAAAATTAATTTTAATGTGTAGAATGTTTGGATTGATTGACCTGCAGTTGTAGCTCTTGGAGGAACAACTTGGGTTTTTTGGGGTTTTTTTTGGGTTTTTTTAGTTTTTTTCTCCCCCACCCCATTGATTCAACACATTGCAAGCTGTGATAGTTTATTATTAACTAGGGCTTGCTGTGTCAGTATTTTTCTAGCCTTTTGAGACCAAGGGAGGAACTCTGCTGTGCAACCAGTTACCTTATTTGAGCATCTCTTGTTGTATCAGTGATTCAGGGCAGGATCTCAAATTTCTTGCTGTTCTGACAGCTGAAGTAAGGTGTGAACCAATCACGGGAACATGTATTTTAAGAACATATTTTTCTTTCTATTTAGCTCATCACCAGAGTGGACATAACAGTGGTGTGATTCACAGTGGAATTTACTACAAACCCGGATCTCTGAAAGCTAAGCTGTGTGTGCAGGGTGCAGCCCTCTGCTACGAGTACTGTGACCAGAAGCGAATACCATATAAACAGTGTGGAAAGGTATAGGAACTGCTGTGTGTTCTTACTTTACCTTTGAAAACTGAGACTGTAGAATGTATGTTACAATGTATAGCACAGGCCTGGTTGTGGTCTTTCTCCCAAGAGGTGAGTTTCTGCTACACTTACTACCTTCAGGATGAATGTGCCTTTTTGTGTTTCTTCTTTCCAGCAACTCGAATCAGTCCTTTTTCTGGGCCTAAATAGTAATTCTCCATATCTGGGGTCTGATTCCATCATTTTATACGTGAGGCTAAGACTGCTTTTGCTATGATCATCATTTCACATTTATCTGCATTGAATTTCATCTGCCATTTTGTTAGTCGCTGGTTCGGCTCAGAAGGTCCCTCTGCAGTTCTTTACGGTCAGCTCTTGTCTGAACCACCTTGAGGCACTTTAAACCATCATCTGACTTTCTGACCGCCCTGCCCCTTTCCAGGTTGCTCATAAACATCTTGGACAGCATTGAGCCTTTCTCTTAAAAGTGCAGTGCAGACCCTACCTGATGTGACAAGCACCACTTCAAGGCCCCGTAGCTCAGCACCCACTGGGAGCTGGCTGCAGCGCTCTCCCAGCTCTGGGATGCCGAGCAGAGATCCCTGGATGTGGCAGCGTTGATGGGCCCTGCACCAGGGCGGGTGGTGGTTGCCCTGGCCTGGCTGTGCTCAGGGCTGTTGTGTTCACGCTGTGCGTCACGAGATGGCACTGTGGATTTGTGCAGCAATACACCTGACGTTACAAGCCTGCTCTCAACTCGAAGCACCCAGACGGCAGACTTGATCTGTAGGAGTCAATTTAAGCTGGGGCAGGGCTAGCACTGACCCAGCAGCGTCGCTGGTCCTTTGCTGACACTGGATTTGTGTCTTTCTGCATCGCCTTCTACAGCAGCATTTATTCCAGGGAAGATGATGTTGCGGCTTTACAGGTTGTTTTACATAAAGCAGCCCCAGGCTTGGAGAACTTGGTGCCTTCTCAATCCAAATATGCCTGTGTTGTCAGACCTGAGCTGGGCCTGGCAGTAGTATGGTCTGTGCAAACTTGGCACAGCTAATTCATAGTCTGGATAAACCTCTCGTGATAGTTGTGAGCTAACTACACGGTAAGATGAAGTGCAACCGGTGCAATTCAGTTTAGACACCATGTCAGAACATGTCCTTACTCTCATATTGAGACTGTTTGAGATGTGTACATCTTGGGTTAAGTTCAGTTTTATTTTTGGAAGCATCCCAGTGGCTCTTTAAAAATAATATTCTCTTCTTTCACATACAGATTCGTAGTCTCATGGTACTTTTAGCAAATATTATCCATTGATAGCAACTTAAGCTACAACTTAACGCTTGTTTTTCACTCTCCTTAATATATCAGTGCTTTCTCAGTAATAGTAGGTATTTATAGAATCTTATGCCACTAATGGCACAAACCACATTTTTTTCCCCCTTGAATTATAATTTACTATTCACTCATTCACTATTGCTTGCTTGTTAGCTTGGGCTTGATGCCAAACCTGAACTGGCTTTGTATGTTTTGCTCACTGGTGTGCCTTGTTGTGTTTTCCAAAGCTAATTGTAGCTGTTGAACAAGATGAAATTCCAAGACTCAAAGCTCTGTATGAAAGAGGGCTGCAGAACAACGTCCGAGGTCTGAAACTGATTGGAGCAAAAGAGATACAAGCAAAAGAGCCCTTCTGCAGGGTAAGGGGTTTGCTTATTTTTACGTGGCATATGAGAACTCAGTTTCTCAGGTGATGTTATTTTTTAATTTAACATAAATATGTTTTTGGCCTTGAGGTAATTTGCGTGGGTGACAAGTTCAAAAGAGCCTGAAAACCCAGGAGAAATATAATTTTCAACAAAAATAAATGTATCAATTTATTTCTGGAACGTTTTAGTTCAGCCCAATCTTTCATATGCATTTGGCCATTACATACATGTCAGACCAGGTCTAACAGAACATAAGGTGATCCTGCAGAATCTTGGTGACACTTTCCCCTCAGGTTTCTCCTGCTCAGCTATTCTCATTTCCTTGCTTGTCAGTTCCTCAGCTCTCTGAAGTCATAAAGAGCTGCTGCTGCACTAGCTGCAAATGATGTGCTGGCTGCTTCATATGGGCCAGCATTCACAAATTAGAGAGCAAGTAATCCATTTCACCTGCAGCCTACAAAAGGAATCAGAAGTATTTGAGGCAAAGTAGGAGACTTTATAGTTCCTTAGACCTTGTGCAGGACTGGATTTATAGGCAAATGGACAGAGCCTACAATTTGTTCAAACTTCATCCTTTTCTCAGCTTTACACAGAGGTGTCCTCCCTGATGTATATGCTCAGAAACAAAAACCACCCAGTTCTTTCACCAATGACAATGAGTGATTTTTTTAACATTTTTTAAATCTTTAATTTTTTCCCCTTCTCCTTGCAGATATTTGCTCGTACGCTTTTGTGGTTGATACGCAGATTTCCCCTTGCCCAGGTCAGAGCTGCTATATCTGAGTTTATGCTAAGATGATTCTGCTCCTTCCCACCAAAATTATTTAACTTACAGTAATGCTTGATAATGCAGCAATGAAAATTCCTTCCCATCTCTAAGTGCGGATTTGGATCAAGCCGATTTCAATCTAGTTGCTTCCTACACACGTGATTGTTATGTAGCACTTCTCATCCTGTTTATTTTCACAGCAGGAGAAATGTCAGTAGTTTATGGACTACAGATTTATTTGTTTGTTTAGCGTATCTTTGATTGAGAGGAAAATCTGGATATATATTCCCCGTACTGTTTCATCTGGCAGCTTGCTACTGGTGTAGCTGCATGACTCATTGCTTATCGGTGGCTGTAGGTACAGACAAAAGATTTCTGGAGAGGAATCTCCTTCTTTTCTCATAAACATTTTGTATCTGCTCCTTAAAACATTCTTTGCATGTTCAAGATCCAGCTGAGCATTTACTTATGCAAATGAGTAGATTGGGGTGGGTCTTACTTAATTTGTTTTGGTTTCCTGAGCTAAGTCCTTTCCTTGTAAGTACAGGGAACTTGAGTGGTGTTATAAAATGTTGCACTGTGTGTCAAATGGAGAGAAAGGTTTTGTGTAAAATACAGTTTTACCAAGCATTCTGGTTGTCTTGGGCATGTAAATGGCCCCTAGTATTGTAGTATCTGAGTGGCTGACAGTCTTTTAGTGTAGTTACACTTGCAGCATTTCTCTGAGATAAAGCAGTCTTACTATCTTTATTTTATAACTGGATCTAGGAAAATATCGTGATGCCATCTAGGATGATAAAAATTATGTGAGAAACTGAGCCTTTTTGATATAAAGATAGTAAAACATCTTTGAGAAACATCAAACATTCTAGCTACGCACTGGACCTGAACCTTGCTTTCTGCTAGGGCAAGTACAGGCTGTTGTCTAACTCAGAGGGGACCTCTCTCTCTGATGTGCAAGGCAGTTAGTGTTGAGACCTGGCTAGATCATACCTTTTAGCCTCGCAGGAGGCGTTGGCAAGAGCCATGCATCAGGTAGAACTCCCAAGTGACCATTTGAAGGTGGAATTGCGTAGTGCGTGGTGAAAAATAAGTACAGATTGGCTAAAGACAAGGTTAGGTAACCTGTTTTATCGTTAAGATTAAAGACTTGATGTCTGTCGAGAAGACTTGTTTATGCTGTAGTTACACTCTGTCGAGAAGACTTGTTTATGCTGTAGTTACACAGTCGCTTAATCCACCTTGAGTAGTTTTCGCCATATTGGTTGTCACCAAACATGAACACTGGAGCTGGCACATGGAGAGACTAGGAACAAGCAGCCAGGGATGGGGAGACAGCGGTACTCCCTTCTCAACAGCAATGCACATTATTCCAGGTCAAATATTCTCTGTATTGAAGACCAAAGTCCACACACAGCTTTCATTCTTCTGTATCTTAATACTGTTTCAGGGTCTGATGGCCCTTGATTCTCCATATACTGGCATTGTGAATTATAAACAAGTGGCCCAGTCCTACGCTGAAGACTTCCAGGAAGCAGGTGGGACGATCTTGACTGATTTTGAAGTTACAAACATGGAGATGGCTAAAGAAAGTTCTTCAGAAAGTGAAGATGGTAAGGCAGTTTTTTGCCCTCCATTTACTACAGTCCTGCCAAAGATTTTGTTCAAAACACGTTTGCTTTAACTGAAGTGACATTTCTGAACCTTTCTGTCTCACAGGGATGAGACAAAAGGCAAGATTATGTTAGGGTATTGAGCAAGCTCAGGTTTTTTTCTCAGGCAGGTCACCCTTCAGCTGAAACATTTAATGCTGATAGAAGAAAACAGTAAAAGAGAGGAATTAGGTTGTTCTCTCCTATTAAAATCAGATTTAGATGAATATTGCATGTGTATTCTTGTGATAGTGCTTTTTGTTTATCCTGGAAGGCAGGTTGGATCTGTGCTGGTACACATATGGAAGAATTAAAAACACAACCTATTGATTCATAAATACAATTATGTCCAACAACATCAGGTATGTCCAACAGTAGTTGCTCCGTAGCTTGGAGATCTTCCAGTGGAAGAACCTTAATCATGACAAGCTGCTTGTTCTGTCAGTTTTCTGTTACATACTCTATTAATTCCTTCTCTTGTCTAATTCTGTTACAGGGTTGAAATACCCAGTCATTGTTAGGAACTCAAAGGTAAGAACGTAAGCTGAAGATTTAATTGCTTAATAGGAAGCTATTTCTCCTTTTCTTAAGAATTTTTGTGGAGTCCTGGTGGATTAATCAGCTCTCAAAAAAAAAGTTAAAAAGCTGCTGTTCAGTAACATGATCACTGTCATCTAGGAGTGCTTCTATAAAACAACTGCAATCAATTCTTAACAATGAGCATATTCAGATTTTACTGTGTTCTGGGAATAATAATGAAAGTATAGCTTTCTGCTGCCTGACTTACATTAAACTGTGTATGTCCCTTATCTTCCTTATTTGCATGTTCTGATGCTTGTTGTTTCTGAGGACTGCTTTTATGACTTACTCATTTGGTGAGAAACACCTATTTTTCATGTTTGCTTTTGGTCTTTGGCATCTATAAAAATGATAAGGAGGCATTTAGAATCATTTTATAGTCAGAAAGCCACAAGCTAACTTAGTACAACAGGAGCATAGACTGATGTCATTCCTGCAAGCCAGTTAATGCTGCACAGGAAGTGTGGTTGTAATCTTTCCACCATCAGGAGAGAATATCTGGACTCTTCTTTGGAGACAAACAAACAAAAAAACCCTTGCAACCCCTCCAGTATTTTTTGAAGTTAGTGCTGCTGCTTTTTTCTTCTATTTCTGTTCTTTCATTAAAAAGTAGCTTCCAAGATTTGTTAGATTCTCTCACCAAATACTGCTACTTCTCTAATGGAAACATTTTTAGTTGCAGAAAAAAACGGTAGTATTTTAAAACAAATACTGTGAGCTAAATAGATAAATAAATAAAGCCACAAACTATTATTTATCTATTTAGATGGTAAGGCGTTTCGATATTTAACAGCTCTCCATAACCGTGCGCTATGAACTTGCGTAGCTTTCTGGGTAAACCACCGTTCAGTAGTACGACGGCTCCCAGCGTGCGGATGAAATCTGTTAACAGCCTTATTTAACCCAACGCGTTGCGGTTGCTCAGCTACCCCGGCTATCGCGCACCCTCCGGCAATGCCCAGCTGGCCAGGGAGCCGCAGGCCAGCCTGGCACCAGGGCTTGGTAGGACGCAGAGGTGAGGGAGTGCCGGGGGGAGATGCTTGGTTTGCCGCAGGAGCCGGAGGGTCTTTGACGCTGCTGCCTTGGGCCTCTGCCACGTCCTGTAAGCGTGCCTGTGTGATGCACGAGGCTCTGTGTTCTGAGAGCTGGACCTCTGGGGCTGTGTTCTGAGACTGGTAGTCTAAGAATCGATGACATGTTTCTTTTATTCTTTTTTTTTTTTTTTTCCCCACCCCTTTTCTATAAAGATTCTTCCAGTCCTACCTGTCCCATGAGTTGCCATTTTAGGATAGTTCTCTTCCAATGAATGAAAAGAATATTATAAAGAATTAAATGACACAATTAAATGTTTCTGCCTCCTTTTGAAAATAGTTGTTTTTCTTTCTGGTCTTGACTAATTTTTTTTTTTTCCCCAAGGCTTGTAGGTGATGGGTGTTTTTTTAGTATATATGTTGCAATTTTACGTGTTTTGTTTCGTTTTTTTTCCACAGGGTCAACAAATCTACTGTCGGCACATTGTGACCTGTGCAGGGCTTTACTCAGACCGCCTCTCTGAGATCAGTGGCTGCAGTCCTGAACCTCGTATTGTACCCTTCCGTGGAGATTATTTGGTGCTAAAACCAGAAAAGTGCTATATGGTTAAAGGAAATATTTATCCGGTATGTACTCTCATGTTTGTCTTTTACAGAGTACTCTGAGAACTGCTAAAACTACAGACATAAGGGCAATATTACATGGTTATTTCTGTTAGGGCTGACAACATGTGGACATAGATTCAGTTGCTTTTTGACAGGACAGCTTGTTTTTCTTAATTCTTGTGGAACATGTAGAAGTATCATGTGGGATATTATTGCTGGTCTTTTTTTTTGTTTGTGTTTTTTGTTTTTTTAATAGGG